AAGTGATAGCTGAAGTAATCAGAAATATTTGCCTGGAGAAGTCCTGGGTGCTGTTTTCAGAAATAGGAAAGGTTGTCTGTGGCACATGGGTTGGACTTACTCCGGGGATCTTTGGAAGATGATGTGTAAATGAAATCTGCTCAGTTTCAGGTTTTTTTTAAAGATGTTAAAAAGATGTAAAATAAAAGATGTTAATTTATTTATTTTAGAGAGAGAGAGAGAGAGAGTGTGAGCAGGGGGAGGGGCAGAGGGAGCAGGAAAGAGAGAATCTCAAGCAGATTCCCTCCTGAGCACGGAGCCCGATGCGGGGCTCGATCTCACGACCCCGAGATCAGGACCTGAGCTGAAATCAAAAGTCGGACCCTTAACCCAGTGAGCCACCCAGGTGCCCCTCAGTTTCAGCTCTGTGATAGAGTGTGTTTCCCAACACATAACATATCCTGTTTGAATAATGTTTTAGGTACTGTCCCCTCTAAGCTCCCCTACTTGGCTCCGAGCCATGTTATATGACCTGTTGTCTGTCTGTGTCTCTTGCTCTCTCTTTTATGCTTACACATTCCTCTACACTGTCCTGTGTGTGCCAGTCTACACTGCATTCTCTGAAATACAAACTTGTCCTAATGCTGATTATCATCATTGTTCTTTTTTTTTTTTTTTTAAAGATTTTATTTATTTATTTGACAGAGAGAGACACAGCGAGAGAGGGAACACAAGCAGGGGGAGTGGGAGAGGGAGAAGCAGGCTCCCCGCAGAGCAGGGAGCCAGATGCGGGACTCAATCCCAGGACCCTGGGATCATGACCTGAGCTGAAGGCAAGTCGCTTAACCAACTGAGCCACCCAGGTGCCCTATCATCATTGTTCTTGACAGTTACCCAGAGTCAACAAATAGATACCATGACCCCTCACACCATGCCCCCCTCCAGGAACGAGCACTCTGAGCCAGAGGCACGTGAAGATGTCAGAAGAGCCGTTGAACTGGGCTTCTAAGATGATACTAATCCTTAACCTTATTCGCATTTACCATGTCCAGGCACTGTGCTGAATTTCCTGCATGTATTTACTCATTTGAGCTTCAAAATAATTGAAGAGATAGATAATTTCATTATCCTTCTGTTACAGACAAGGAAAGTAAGAGTCAGAGAGGTTAAATAACTTGTCTGAAAAAGACTCAGCAGTCTGGCAAATCTATAATAACCCCTGAATAAATCTAGAGTTTGTTGAAAGGACAAAGGTTGAGTGTGTACATCAAAGATGACACAGGACCCAGTGGTGGGGCAGAGAGGGGACAGTTTGTGCTGGGAACAGTGGGCTCTGGAACGGGATGAAAGGAAATGAGTAAAGGAGGAGCAGAAACAGATCCTGTGGTAGCAGAAAGGGTAACTGACAGATGGCTTGGGAGTCAAACTTTGTCTACTCTTTTTCCATTTTGTTAAAATTTGCTTTTTCCTTGTACTTCTGTCAGCATTTAAAATTATGCAGAATTGCTACATATACTCTTTCTTTACCTTAGCTGTGTAGACCCATCCCTGCTATGTTAAATTTGGGAACAACCTGCCCTGCATTGTTAAGTGATGTTTTTCTTTTCCTTTCTTTCTTTCTTTCTTCTTCTTCTTTTTTTAAGATTTACTTATTTATGAGAGAGAGAGCACGAGTGGGCAGAGGGGCAGAGGGAGAGAATCCTCAAGCAGACACCCCACTGAGCATGGAGCCTGATGAGGGACTTAATCCCACAACCCATGAGATCATGACCTGAGCTGAAACCAAGAGTCAGATGCCTAACAGACTGAGCCACCCAGGTGTCCCTAAGTGAGGTTTTTCTAGATTTTTCTCACTCTAGTGGTCCACCTTAACAATGAGGCTCCAGTTCATTTCTAGACCAGTGTACATGGTTCCCTCTCTTTGTTCTGCCTAGAGATAGCTATACTGCTATGGGCAGGGGAAACACAAAGATGCTTTGGTCTGATCCCCCTTCTCTTTCTCCAATTATATAAAATCATATGCTTCCAAAGTTAGATAAATGTAAACGCCCAGCCTCAGGAGAGCAGGGCTAAGGACCAATATTTTGATGAAGGAATCTATAGTACTTCACCCCCTTTCATACAGATGGGGCTGATTTCTATTCCCCAAGCTTGTTAGAGGATATTTGAAGTAGAAGGCAGGAAGAGAGGCTGCTCACTTTGTGGTTTCATTTTTTGTGTTGGTGCAATAAAAAAAAAAAAAAAGGAGAACATATTTTTAATTTACTTATGCTGGATATTCTCCACTTGCCCTCTATTAATCTACTCTCCCCCTGTAGGAAGGCCTTCATGGACTGCTTTACCCAGGCTCCCCTAACTCTGTGGATTACAGTTGGGTTTGGCCAATGGGAGAAACAGGCTGAAGAGTAGAGAGTAGGAGGAGAGATCTTCCGGGAAGGTGGATCCCTTGTTGCCTCCCTGAGGTCTGGCAACAGTTGTGCTTACTTCCCTACTTAAGGCTACAGCTCCAATTGGGTGATGGCTCCTCCCTTGTCCCTTCAGGCTGAGGAGTGGAAGAGCTTGTGAGGGACATCTCACCATCCCTTGCTGATTCCCTTAACTCTGCGCACCCCTCTGTATGTGTGCTGCTGAAGCGAGCACGTGCCCAGCCCTCTGTAAATATTCCTTTCATTCAACAGTCCACGAAAGAGATGGAGCACGCCATCTCTTTTTTCTGTTGGTAACTTTCCTGATTTGACTCGTGGCAGATTTTAAAAATTAAACACTTGGGTCATGGAATTAAACCACCCAAACTGGACTTTAATAGTACATTCATTTTATAGGGAATAAAAAAATATAATGCAAGAAAATTTACTTAACAATTAAAAGCATTGTAAAATCTACCCCCCAAAAAAGTAGCTTTCTGAAATAAAAATTAATGCCCAGTACATGTCCTTGGTCTCCTGTAGAGACTAGAGTTTTTGTGACTTGCTAAAATAATATTTATTTCCATAGTGTGCATTTATGGTAATAAAAATGCTTTGTGAATTAAAATTATAATGCTGTTAGGTGATTGGAGGTATGTTATAAATGCATCCTCAGGGAGGAAATCCAATGAAGTTAAGTGTGCGATGGGGCAGAAGATCGTCATCAAATACTTAAGTTGCAACACCACCTGCATGAGCAGGCATTGTCCGCCCACACACAGAAACTTCTCATTTGCAGAGAAGACTGCTTCTCCATCTGTAAATGGCTCAAGTGGGGGCTCTTCCTAAATTCAGAAAACCATGAGTTTTGGCTAAATGAAATAAACAAACCTTTACATGAGTGCCAGCTAATTGTCTTCCCCTGCCTTTCAATGCCATCAAATTTTAAACCTGAATATATTGGTTTTTTCTTGATTCCAATCAGAGCTGACATCACGTGAACATTCGAACAACCCTTTCAAAGTGCACTGGCATGAGCAGACAGGGATGCCAAAAATTTAACTGAATTACACCAAGGATGTAGTGATGCAGACTGGATTTTCCCAGCCTTGGCCAACATGGTGGTTTTGGGTTGGCACTGTTTCTAGAGCTTTGTTCTGGCTCTGGGTTGTCATGGGCCCAAACAACTTTGAGATTCAGGTCTTTTGGAGGCTTTCTGTAGCATCTATCAGATCTTTGGAGATTCAAGACCACACTTCAGTACCAGAATTTCCCAGTTCCCTCTTGGATGACCTGAGGCCACAGGGAACTGGGAACAATTTGGCTCAGGGCCGACTACTCTGGCCCATCCAATTCCTGGACACCTAAATTTAGGGCTGGCATTTTGAGGTGAAAATCCACTATAGTTTCTCCCTTTTCATCCCACTGACTGTCGGGGACAATGAATAAAATTGGTATCTTCTTTTATCACAGCTCAGTTCTCTAATATACCAGGCTAAGCCCTTGCTTTTTATTTAATTTGAAAATGAGTCAGTAAGTATAAACAGGCATGTCTGATGTGATGAGATTTTTAGAAAGGAAATATTTACATATCTATTCTAAGTAAATTTTTTTGTTACCTTTAAATTGCCATTAGTAATAGGTGATTCACTATTACATAGGATTTTTACATTCAATTCCTTCTTTGTATATGCAGGCGAAACAACAGGATTTAGCCATTTAACACAATGCAAGGAGCAGGAGTACATTAAGAAACAAAGCTCTAGAAACCTACTAGTTCTTAAATAAGTGGTTTAAATTCTTATATATTGGGCCCCCAGAGTGAATCATTGTGTTCCTACTAGTGATACTATGTTCAAGTGTGCCTTTTCCTTTTTTAAAAGTTCTCAGGCATTATTCCAGAATTTCTGGGGAGTGGTGAGGTGGAGTAAAGGATTGTAGTTAACATTTTCATTTGGTGGAAAAAACAGTCATCTAATAAAAGAAATCAATCTTCCAGATTCAAAGTAACTTCAGAATTTTATGTTTAGGAATTACCCATGAGCGTAATTAATCCTATTTAGAACAATTTCTTAACTTTAGAATACTTGTGTGCAGGGAAGATTTATTTACCCGTCCAGATTTCAGTTAAGTTAAATTTTGCCTGGTTTGTTTAAATTAGTAGAAAAGCAAACCATTTATTTATTCTTTTAAAAATAAGAGCTGATTTGACATAGATTGTGTCTGATGCTAGATTGGCTTGGAATCACTTTAAGTGATCACCTAGTTTGATAACTACTTATAGGAGCTGGTTTTACATAAGCAATTCAATGAGACTTTGGAAAAAACTAACATCCCTTTTTCTTTTTTTATAACAGCTATCCTGTAATAACACTCACTGCAAAATAAATAAATAAATAAAATGGTTCTACTATTCTGAAGATCATACTGTAAGGGGAAAAAAATCCTCTAATACCAAGTACTATACTGAATATTTTAATATCTAAATTATAATGCAACCACACTTTAAAAACCTGCCTGCCAAAATAAATATATTTTTTCTACTTTTATCTTATTAAAAATATTATATCTACTCTAGAAACTGTTACTTGGGGGAATTCATCAAATACTATTCCATTTTCAAATTTTTGTTTCATAGTTTATTTTCATAACATTTCAGATGAGTTTACGCAGTAACTAAGATGATTGAACGGTGCAAATTTGCTGAAACACTGATGTCGGGTTTATACCATGCCAAACATCTAGATTTAGAAACATATTAAGACATGACTCACTGTTGCATGATTTCCTATATAGTATGAGTCAAACCATGTTTCCTGGATAAAAGTGTAGATGCATGAGTTTTGCTAAAACACAGTCATCTTATCAAGTAGATGTTAGTCACAGCCTCATCATGAGCAATAGAGGAGTTTCAGGGTTTATTGAGAATTGACCAGATTTTTCAGTTTTTAATTCTAATATTCAGCTACAGACATAGCCACATTTCCCCTCCCTGGAAATAGAATGAAGAGTATTAATCAGAATTTGAGACTCTCTTAATAGCCTATTATTTCTTGTTGAGAGGAAAATTCCAAAAGTGTTCTTGATTACTCTTAGCACAATGGACATTATAAAATAAATAACCAAATACTTTGACACACAGCTTCTAAAGGACTAGTAAAAAGGTGACGTTAACCAGCTGAGCCTTCTTCACACATAATACCGTGGTGACCAGAGAGACCTCCCATATACACAAATAGGACGGTACAAAGTGCCTGTGATTTCCAAATTCATTGGCCAGACAAAGGGTTTGTTAAGCAACACAAGACACCAGTCTTAGTCGCTTCCAAGTACTGCCTTCGTAGAGGAGACACCCGAAGTTTCATCTGGTCTGACTGCACACTGCATGTTTATAACGACAGTAGCGTAGAAGATTAAAATAGAAAACACAGTAACTATTTAGGGTTTTAAACAAATTACAAAACCACATGCTTTCTCACTCAACAGGAAAGCTTAAATCAAAAGGCAACTGGATCCTCAAAGCAGTTGGTTTTTCCTCCAAAGCCCAACCTCATTGACCTGCTCATGGAGGGTAGGTCTTATAGATCCTTCCAACACCTTCCATGAAGTGCCTTGTCAGCACCTCTGTAGCCCCAATCTATCGCTGAGAGGTTTGTTCACTCTGTTTTATTAGGGTGGCGTTGTTGGATTTGTAAACTTACTTTTCTCATTTCTCCAAGCAGCCATTTCAAAATGATCTTCCAGATGCTGGCTAATGAAGCACTTCTTAACTATTGTCGACAAAGGTCAATCTACTTACTGGCATTGGACTGTAGAGAACAGGAAGTTGGTGTTGCATCTTGTGTTCTTAATGAAACCCGACAACAGAGGACTGAACGCATTAGTCTCAGAACAGGAGGCCTAAGGATGGCAAAGACCCAAGGGTCAATTATTGAATTGATTGATAAAAATCTAAGAGCTTGGAGGTCCCACTTGTTTTTTTGGGCGGTTTCATCCATATATGCAAAAATCTGTAAGAAGCAAAAAGGAAAAATGATATTAGTTTTATATTGTAGCAGTGGACAGGCTTGGAGCATGTGCAATTTCTTAAGAGCAAAATGGGTTTTTTTTGTGTACCAGGGGTGTTGACAGATGGGTAGCAAATCTCAGTTTTCTTCCATATGTTTATTCCTGACAAAAACTCTGAAATATAAGTATTGTCTCCTTTTGACAGACGAGGAAGTGAACTTCAGGAGAGGTAATAACAATATGTTACATTTACGTCCAAATATTTAATCTGATTTAATTATCACAGTTCAGTGAGAAAAGGTACCCAGAGCATGGGTTCTGGACATGGGACTGCCTGGGTTTCAATCCTGGCTCCATATATAGCTTTGGAACCACAGGAAAGAACACTAACCTCTTTGTGCCTCAGTTACTACATCTTTAAAATGGGTGATAATGATAGCAATACTACTTCTTAGGTTTGTTGGGAAGATGACAGGAAGTAGTATGTGTACACTATTTAAAACAGTGCTTGCTCAGTAAGGACCCCACAATGTTGTCCATATCTCCAGATTACCAGTGAGGACACTGACATGAGAGAAGTTAGGTGACTTGCCCAAGTTCCCAGGCCACTTAGTTGGCAGACTCAGGACATAAATTACAACTTCCTTGACACTAGTTAGTAAAGGGCTCAACCATGGGCTATATTCAGATAGCCAAAACAAAGGCCTTTAGAACAATGTTCTAAATACTGGAAACATGACATATTTTGCACGCTGACTAATGTTTTCAAACAGGTATACCAGCTCTCATCTGATTCCTTATATATTTTGGGATCAATGCAACTTTTTGGTAAGATTGAAAGGAATAGAACAGGACATGCTTGATAACGATCAAACACTTCACATAGCTTACAGAAAAGAGGAAAACAAATGGAAAGAAATCACACCCAGTCTTTTTTTGTCTTTTTTTTTAAGATTTATTTGAGAGAGAAAGAGAGTGAACACAGGAGCAGGGGTCTGGGGAGAGGGAGAAGGAGAAGCAGACTCCCCACTGAGCAGGGAGCCTGCCTCGGGGCTGGATCCCCAAACCCTGGGATCATGACCAGAGCTGAAGGCAGATGCTTAACCGACTGAGCCACCCGGGCGCCCCTCATACCCAATCTTTGAAACCAATTCTTTATAATGTTCTAGGGACTTTCTTACCAGTGGGAGTGAGTTAGAGAGCTACAACTTCATTCCTCCACAGTCCTTTCCCAGAAAAAGGAATGGTTTATTTCCTTTTCCCCTGGTACTTATTCTGCAGGCATCTGGCAACTGGTTCTACAAAGCGAATTGCAGGGAAGGAGAAGAGTAGTCATCTTTGGGTTGCTTATGTTAGCATAAGAGTGGGAAGGTTTGGCAGCCACAGGTGTTTATGCCAAGAATCTTGGAATAGGGGATGGAGGAGAGACTTGGCGCATGAGCAAGGAAAAAGAAGTGATGGTGGATTTCCCTGATTTATACAGAGAAGAGGAAAGTTAGGTGGGAATATGCAATGGAGCAATCATTTTCTTGTCAGCCAAACTATTTTGGCTGAGAAATATACAGTGCTTATATGGTATGTCTAAGGAGCGATTTGGGAGTTTAGAAATTCAGGATAAGAGCGTACAAAAGTCTGATAGATTCAAGTATATTAGTTACTACACAAACAACTGACACTCTGTTGGACAAAAAGTCTGTAGCAGAGTTTATGATCGAGCTTCACTAAAGCATGCGATGACAGTGAATTGGGCAGCCATCCTGGGCGGTGTGGCGAGGGTTTAGTGCTCCGGCGTCACACATGGAGACGAGTCGGGTTTTCAGTGGTGAATGACCTGTACGGTATCATCGCTCCTGATCTCGTTAGAGTGACAGAGCAATGAGAAGTGAAAAATGGTTTTAGAGGATGAAGCAATTCTGTACTATTTGTTTCCTTTCCTTTTTGTCCACTATACTGGGTAATTTTTAGAAATGCTTAAAATTTGCATCTCAGAAGTTAGCAAAGATTTTATAGAAGGCAATTTATTCTTTTGACGCTGGGAAAAGCGACCCTTGAAGTTTCTGATGTAAGTTTTGTCTTTTCCGACCTCCCCATTTTTCCCCCTTTGGTTCTTGCCTCTTGCCTAGAGTTCACAGTTTTTGATATTGTGGATACTTGGGTTTGTTTTTGATTGTGAAATACACACAGCATAAAATCTACCATTTTAACCATTTTCAAGTGTATCATCAGTGACATTAGTATATATATATTGTTGTGCAACTGTATTGTCTATGTTTTTTGTTTTCTGTATATCAAGATGCTTTGACATCTTAAAAGCTTTCTGGCAGGGAAGAGACTGCCCCTCCCCAGGGCTACATTCTTAAGAACAGCCCAGGGCTCCCCTGAAGCAGTCCTTTGATATGCACAGTAATCAAGCCGGGGGCCCCTCCATCTGGCCCTATATCCCAGGAGGCAATATTCCTCTGTAAAGGCCCAGGTTGTCCTCCTGCTTCTGTCCCTTCTGCCTCCGGACCCACACTACTGTTTTCCCTTGTGGCCCTGGTGTTGGCCCTGGTGTTGTGCACAGGACCTGTCAGTATGACAAACTTTATTTTCCTGAGCCTCTCCCGTGCTCCTCTGGTGGCCGCCCCTGACTGGCCATCAGGTAAAAGAACACAGACTACATCACCACCATCCTTCTCCAGAATCTTTTTTTCATCACCCCAAACTGAAACCCAATAACTCCACATTCCCCTCTCCTTCCAGCTGATCCTAGACTTTAATTAAAGGCTGACCCAATTGATAGGTCAGTTAATGAGTGATGTTTCAGTGAGATTCCGGAATTCAGCTTCGGAGGCTGATAGAACTTAAACACGTTTTTGCCTACACTACTAATCAATTTGCTATGAGAAAAATCTAAACAAGTTAGTTTTAAGTTCTTAGGATAGGCTCACTCTATAGGGCTTTGCTAAGAATATAGAGTTTGTTTTGATACCTACAAAGTGGTATGGATGAAAATCTGTGTTCTTTAGATTCAACTTCTATGATGATATAGAATCCTTTCAGCCTCCCGTGGAAAATTTCATCTTGGCTCCGGCCGGGGCACTGTTCTTCTGAGCTACTTCCCTACTGTTAATGCAACTCCATTGTGGTTTCAGAACGTTAGAGCAGATGAGAACTTTATTTGGTTGTTCATTGAAATCACCTGAGGATTGTTAAAACTACTCTGATGGCTTGCTCCCACCCCCAGAGACTCTGATATAATTAATCTGGGCTGTAACATGGGTATCAAGGGTTTTAAATCAACCTGGGTGATTCTAACCTGCAGCCAAGGTTGAGAACCTCTGTTTTAGAACCTTTATCCAACACCTGAAAGAGTTTAAAATTATTCATTTATCACACTTAAAAATAAAAGACCCACTTAGGGCCTGGTCAAACAAATGACGTTGAGCTTCCAGAATCCAATTTCTGATCATTAATATGCAATCTGATTTTCCTTTGGAAGTTGAACCCTATGCAGATAGCAGTTAATATTTACTGAAGACCTCTGTGTGTCAGGCATGGGGCTAAGCAATTTGTAGGCCTTATTCTGTTTAATCCTTACACCAACTTGCAAAATATTATTATTCCTATTTTAGCAAAGAGGAAATCAGGGCCTAGAAGATTAGTTACCATGCCCCAAATCACACTCCAGGTAAGTAGGGAAGCCACAGAACCACACTCCCAAGCAGTGGGACCAGAACTTGCCTTTTAGCCACCACACACTCTGCCAACTTCTACATAAAAAGCTTGTGATGCGGGGCACATGGGTGGCGCAGTCGGTTAAGCGTCTGCCTTCAGAGTCCTGGGATCATGCCCCTTGTCCAGGCTCGATGCTCAGTGGGGAGCCTGCTTCTCCCCCTCCCTCTGCTGCTCCCTTGCTTGTGCTCTCTCTCTCAAATAAATATATAAAATCTTAAATAAAAAAAAAAAGGCCTGTGATGTAAAGTCTCACGTGAAGTTCACCACTAACTGATATGGTTTCATAAGAGCCTTGTTTGCAAAGTTGTCACAAAGGTTTGTGGGTATGACTGTTCTTGTTTATCAACTTAAAAACCACGGCTGTATCTACTTGTCTTTCTTTGGGGCTTTTCTTTCCTTCACACCTTTTTTTTGGTAATCTACATGATATGTCTGCATAGTGCTACATATGTATAATTTATATATATGTATAAATATATTGGATGTTTACTAAAAGATTTTATTTAAAAATTTTTTTCACTTGTATTTTTTATTTAAATTCAATTAATTAACATATAATATTATTAGCTTCAGAGGTAGAGGTCAGCGATTCGTAAGTCTTAATCAAGAGTCGGATGCTCAATCGACTGAGCCACCCAGGCACCCCTCTTTCCTCCACACTTTGCACAGTTAAATTGCAGGCAGAGATTATTATATGTTTACCTGCCTTGTGAAAGACATTTGGGTGTCCTGGCTATGGCTTTATATAATCCATTCTTTTTTTTTTTTAAGATTTTATTTATTTATTTGACAGAGAGAGAGAGAGCACAAGCAGGGGGAGGAACAGAGGGAGAGGGAGAAGCAGGCTTCCTGCTGAGCAAGGAGCCCGATGCGGGGCTCGATCCCAGGATCCTGGGATCATGACCTGAGCCAAAGGCAGATGCTTAACCAACTGAGCCACCCAGGTGCCCCTATATAATCCCTTCTTTAAAAAACTTTTGGTGTCAGCTATACTTCAAAAAAAAATTTTTTTTAAACAAAAAACTTTTGGGGGGACAGTATTTTCCAGGTATATGATGTTTTAAAGAAATCCCTTCCCCCAAATCCCAGGTGCTTTGTGGTGGAGGGAACAGGAGCCTCTGTCCCTTTGAGGAAAGACTGGGGCATAGATAGGGCTCCAGCACCAAAGAGTGTTCCCTGCATTGTGCTTCCAGTAACCCCAGGGCTGGAAACAAAGAGAGTTAATGCTAAAGTTTAGAGCTCTGGGCTTGTATATTCCAGGCTCATGGCTCTTAATTCTTAAAAA